ATAGCCTATTTCTCCCCCACTAATATTTTTCACTACTGAGCCAGGCTGAATCTGAACTAATGTTTAACATATGATAATTACTTTAGTCCTCTGAGTTGCCCAGTCCTACTCTGAGTATATAATGCAGCACTTTGTCAAGGTTCCTGGAGCGTACATGGCTTTATCCCATTAGACACTTTAGTTAAATAAAAAGGATCCTATAATGTAAATGGTTTCTACTGCTTACTGATCAGGTTCCTTGCTGGTTTTTGAGTCATTTACAGCACATATGAAATCAAGTGAAATGTGCAGTTACCAATTACATATGGCTTACTCCTACAGCTATAACTTATTACTAGCACAATAAAATACAGCAGTGTCCTCCCCCACTCATGATTGCCTTCTTAGAGAAAGAGCTGGGATATTGTGAAGAAACTGAAGCCAGCATTCATTTATGTTCTGTCAAGTTTCACTAATTTAACTGTGATTTTTTTTTGCTCCATACTGATTTGTACTGGATATAAGCAGAAATATTATAAATGCATGACCCATCACTAGTAAAAAGTATTTAAAAGCCCCAAAACTCAAATTCACATATATTATGAATTCTTAAATTCTACCTTTTCCCGAATCTGTTGGTTCCCAAAAGAATACTACTGAAACAGTGCTAATCACAGCTGCAGTACTTAAAATGATAGGCCAAATCCACACCTGATGTAAATAGGTGCAGCTTCTTTAATTTAAAAAAACAGAGTAAATTATACCAGCTAAGAATTGGTTCCTATAAATTAATGAAGGCAGTTGTTAACCTAATTTCCCTAACAAGTTCCAGAGAAGGATTTTTCTAAGAACCATACTAATTAAACAGAACTAGCAGATAACACATTTGACAACTAATATTAGTAATTTTCCCCAAACATTTAAAAGTATAGGAAAGTAAGGATGGAAGACAGTGACAGAGAAAAGCCCATCTCTATCCTCTCCATAACTGTCCTTTATGTACTTGAAAACTGTTATCAAATCCCCACTTAGGGTGAGATTACAGATTAGAGTTAGCAGGTGCTAATTCTAAGGAATGTTAGTCTGTGTTAAGGTTAAATAGTGCTAGTGATCAGTTACATGTTCAGGGTTAATACCCTCTAAATGTGCACTGCTCCTATCTACTGCTAGGGGGCTGGTGAGCAGGGTATGGCTAGGGGCTGCAAGTCTGCCCCATTCCTGCCCTACTCACTGGCTCTCTAGCCATGGTACAGTCTGGACTGGGGGGGAAGTAAGGGGTCCCCCATGCCACTTGGTTTGCCCCCTCCTACCAAATCACTCCACTGCCCCCTATCTCCCCCAGATCTCTGGTGGGGCTTGGATCTAAGCATGCACGGTCAGCACAGTCTGCATGGACTCTAGCAGCAGGCAGGGAGGGGGAACACACCTACTGATGCCTCCAGTGCTCTTGGATGGATCAGGGTGCCAGGACAGTGATCCATTGGTGGAGAGGCTGATGGGGCGGCAGAGGGGCAATTTGGGAGGAAGAGTTCAGTCCTGCTATATGGAGGGAGGGAGGGGATGGTGCCAGGTCCCTGAAGCCCAATTCTCAGGGTCTGATCCTAGCACGCAAGGTACCATTGAGCCCACAGACTGGCCCTGGGTCACTCACCTGGCCTACAGAACCAAAAGGTTGAGGACCGCTGCTCTAGAGGATAGGATTAGACTCCAGAATGACCTGGATAGACTGAAGAAATTCTCCAAATTAAATCAAATGAAATTCAGTGAGAACAAGTGCAAAGTCCTGCACTTGGAAGAAATCAATTACATGCAGTGTGTGAAATGACTAGGTAGGTTACAATACTGCAGAGAAGGGCCTGGGGTTACGGTGGATCACAAGATGAATGTGAACCAACAGTGTTCGCAAGCTAAAAATACTAAAGAATCACTGAGTACAGCCAAACATGAAGGTAACCCCTGGAAGATACCCCTGACTGACAACTTTGTGGCTGCCTCTATCTGTGGTCTACTTCAACACAAACTAAAGAATGACCATAGAAATAGAGAACTTTTAACTTTCCAAATAATTCTTACATATGCAAAACTTGTGAGTTTAGTAATTAAATTTAACATTAGTTCACTTACTCTTGTAGCATCATACAGACATTAACTGTTAAAATTATATGATTAAGCGCTCAAAACTGTGGCAAATTCTAGGTTGTAAATATAACCTTAATCTTGCCCCCAGTGGGCACATATTTCAACTACATGGTCACATATTATTTCTCAAATACCACCAAACAAATATTTTCTCTATAACCTTTGATACACCTTGAACTTTTTAAAATTCCATTTTCCTGTTGCTAATTTCATTGTCATAATGCCCAATATATCTTTATGACAGACTTGTTATATAAGACAATTTCTATGGTACATATTTTAATTCTTTAGTCAGAACACATGTACTATAAATCTCCTTTTCAACTAAGAGTAGTGAGATGGATTCAAGTGACAACCAAGGAAAAATGACTTCTGAGGAAAGCCTGAAAGAACTAGAATGATTTAGTCTGAGGAAGAGAAGTCTGCATGCAGATTTGATAACCATCTTTCAAATACCTGAACAGTGGTTATATGGAGGATGGAAATAAATTATTTGCTGTGACTGCAAGGGATAGGACAAGGAACACTGATTTAAATTGCAGCAAGGAAAATTCAGGTTGGATATTAGGAAGTACTTCCTCACTGTGAGAATGGTTAAGCATTGAAACTGGTTACTCAAAGAGGCTATGGAAACTCTATCCTTGGAAGTTTTAAAAGCAGCTTAGATGAAGTGTCTGGGTTGGTTTAGACTGAGATGATCCTGTCCTGAGCACAGGATTGGCTCATATGACCTCCTGGAGGTCCCTGCCAGCCCTACTTTTCTATGATGCTAAGACATTAATTAAACCAGTCAGAACTTCTAATGCTTTTAGGATCTGCTCCATTGCCCACTGAAATCAAGGAAAGATTCTCTGTGAAATCAAAAGGTATGAGGTACCATTAAACTAGAAGCTTCCTTTAAAGACTTAATTTCAGAAAAACATATGTTTGGCAACCATCAATCCTTCCAGATCATGGTGTGTACATGAGAGGTCACCTAGACCTTCGACGCATATGCCTAGGCAGAAATTTGGAGGAGTGGAGGCTTCCCAGACCTTCCATCCCCACTTTAGACCACTGAGAGGGAATCCAAAGGCCAGACTTAGTCCAGACATTTGGCACCTCCATAGCTCTAGTTGTACAAGCAACCAGGAATACAAACCCAGGTCTCCTGTGTGACAGACAAGGATTCTACCATTGAAACACAGGGGACTCCTAGAAAAATATAAACGTCTGGAAAAAAGATATTTTACTCAAAACTTATTTTAAAATGCTTACACTAGTAATGGCTTCATATAAATACCAAAGAACTGAAACCAAAATAAAATAATGTACTGTCATGGAAGCATCTCGCTCTTTCTTTGCATCTGAACCAATGCAAATCATCATTCTTGGCATTAACACCAGCAACTTTGCTCTCCTTATGTGTGTTCAGAAAGCTGCTACTTATATGATCATTCTGGCTTAAAACTCTGTATGCATTACACCCCTCCAAGTCTCCCTCTCTCTCCAGCCCATTTCTCTCACTCTCCTTCACCTCCACATCAAATGCAAGCCTTTCTTTTAAGACTCTTCATAGCTTAGCCAGACCTACCTACTTGATATAGTAATTTATAATGATCTCAAACCCTGTCCTCACCCTGTCATTATTTAGTCAGTCACCTTCTCCCTTAATCACCTTCATGCTTTCTCCCATGCTGCTCCTTATGCATGCAAAAAAACTCCCCAGTCTAATCCATGGAGTGATTACTTCATCTTTCTTCAAATCCAACCTTTAGATTCACCTCTGCTGTGATGCTTACAAAACATAGTCTGTTGATGGCTAGACAGATGATGAGCTGTAACTGACCCTTTTCCTCTTCTTATGTCTCCATACAACCATTTCCCAATTTTGGTAATGTATAAGCTAAAATCTACCCCCGCCAGAACAAAACAATGACACGGCACTAGCAAAACTGCAAATTCTTCAATGTTCCTTGACTTGTTACAGCTTCATGTTCTAACTCCCTGCCCCACATACCCAACTGCTTTATTCTTTATCAGCTTTGGCTTTTAGGTTGTAATAGTATTACCTATATTTGTACAGTGCTTATCATTGTGGGCCCTCAAAGCGGATTAAGACATTCAGACACTACCATTACATATTGATAATAACTACACTGATATCAATTATCTTATTAAATATAGCTAGTGATGTCTTGAGACAGAAAGCAAGAAAGGTATCTATGGACCATATTCTACATTACTAACATTGAATAGGATCTTATTGGCAAGAAGCCCCTTTGTATATACCAAGCAGAATAAAAGAATTGTCAGATTAAGAAGGGGTAATAGAATCATACCACCATTTATTTTTTGCCTTTGTAAAAGCCACACTTATCAGGTCTACAGTTAGAGTAATGGCTGAGAGCTGAGACATCGTACTTTCAGTGGCCAAAGATGCTGGTAGAAGAGATTAGATGCAGTTTATCCACTTTAGAGAAGTTTACCTCCTTTTTAGAGAAGCAGCATAGGTTGCTCTTCGTTCTAAATCCTATTGTTCTGCTGTGCTATGGGGAGCACAGACTCAGCCATGCCACCTGGAACACTTCTTCTGCTAGAAGGTCTCTACCACTACTGCCTCTTCTATGCTCATGCTTAGAAAAATACTGGAATTCTGGTTGATTATTATGTAAGAAAAGAAGGAGTTGGGGAGCCATTTTTATCCTCCTCCACCTCTCATGTACCCTTCTCAGGCAGACAGAATTCAGCACATAATTTTTAAAAAGAAGGGCAATAATTTATTAGACTTTGACAGACATCAGGACATCTTTCAAAGAAGATTCTGACCTCAAATACTAGTGTGACTTCTGAAGCAGGTAGTTATACATATACACACTTTGTCAAAAAGTAGATAAACTTACTGACAATTCTTGGATGAGTTTCTGAAGTTCACTGTGACCATGCTTTCCAGCAATACATGCTGGGTTTTCTCCATATTTGTTGGTTGTTCTGCAAACCTCAGTTGCCTTGGGGCACTGAAGCAGAAAACTAGTAAGGTTCTTTAATCCAAATTTAGCTGCACAGTGGAGAAGAGTAGGAAGCTCTTCCAAGTTTAAATCTGTATATGAAAATAAGTAAAAAATAAATTAATAAAAAGATAGTGGCTTATATATAACACATATCATCCTCTATTACAAAAACTTCCAGGGTTCAGTGATAACATTGCTATTAGCATCCAACTGTCCTTGTAGAATTGGTACTCAAACAGCAAATTCTTATAACTAGAAGTTTTATAATTCAAGTAGTTATCATGCATTTCAGTAACGGTGCCGTTTCTTGCTTTGCCATGACTGAGAAGTCCCATTTTCTCTGTCAGATGAAATTGCAAAAGCAGTTTAATTATTTCTACAGAAAAAAAGAATGAGAGCTGGACACAGCCCCAGGGAAGAAAATTCTACAGTATAGGCACACTTCCCCATAGGTATGTATTACTAAAATACTTGAGATATTTTTGCCCTCCGTTGCTGAATTGAGCATGACATTTATAGATGATTGCACTCCTGTATTCACACTAATATCACCTCTTTGCACACTCACATAGCAAGATGGTATCTGCAAATATTTGCCCATCAACTTAATGAAAAATCCAGCATATTTTGTTTTTTATTTTTAAAATATATGTATTTGGGGATGAGATACTGACATACTGGGACTGTAGTTTTTCTTGTCTCCTTATTTCTCTTTTGGGAAGGTAAGTGAGAAAGTTAAGCTGCAGTTATGTACTGTGAGTATTCAGAATTATCATGGTAGCAGAATGGCAAAATCCCAGCAAAAGATGGATTGGGAAGCTCTTGCACTAAGGGAAAAAGTACAAACTCCAAAAGAGAATCTTATGCCAGCTACTTAAATAACTGGTTCATTTAAAACAAGGAAACAAGAATAAGGAAACTGAGAAGTATTTGCCCTATAGCATACTGAGTGCAGAAATATCTGATAGCACACTTTGTATTGTTGACTATATCAACAAAGAAAATATGTTTAAGTCCTAGCCAAAAACTTCAAAGACAATGTCTAAAGCTGACTTCCAAAATCCATATTTAGAGAACTAAATATAAAGTGGCCTGACTTTCATGCATGTTAAACAACTATAAATCAAACTGAACACAATGGGAAATGTAGGGCCAACCACCTTAAAAAAATCAAGTCACTTATATTTAAAAAATAAGCAGATTCAGGCACCTAATTACAGACATCCTGCTTGAAAGATTTGCACTTCTGTTGACAGGATGCTTATTATTATTAGCTATATAGTTATTATTAGCTATAAGTAATTAGCAGAAAAAATCCCTACAGAGACAAACATAAACTTTAGGAGATTAACAGCTTAAGCATACACAAAGAATAAGAGGGCTGGACAAAAACATTGAAGATAGATCTAATTCTGTGCATTACACAGGGTTCTCTTACAAGAAAAGGAAAAGGTTTAAACAATAGTGGATATTTCAAAAACATCTACAAATTCTTCCAAACATTGTCTATTTTAACTTCTTTCTCCACAGGTTTCCCTCAACAAACTAAATAGAGTGAGGTAATCAGCCACATCAGTCTGAAGTCAGGTAGAGGGCAACATCTGACAAAGTAGGCTATCATCTATGAAAGTTTATGTCTCCTGAACCTGCTAGTCTCTAAAAAGAAATCAATAGTGAGAAAAGTTTACGGTCATTTTGGAGAGGAGCTACTAATAAAATATTACCTCCAGCCTGTGTCATGCTAGCATACTCTAAGAAGTTAAATATTTTAGGCAAAGAGACCTTTGATAACATGTTGTGACATGCTCCAAGAAGAATTCTATTCCTTTCATTTAAGCCTGAAATAACTGGCCACAAATATAAGACAGGCACTGACTGTATCTTATAAATTCCATTCAAACACATTACATAACATGGATATCACAGCTGGTTAGTTTCCTCACTAGCTCATAAAAATCCAATGTTACTATCAAGTCCTTTGAGACCAACCCCTCAAAACACAACTTTTATTAACTCAAACACCTGAATTTGCAAAGCAACAAAATAAGCTATTCCCTTGATCAAAAACTGTTAGCATAAACCTTTACCTTTGTGTCTGTTTGCTCCAAACCCTGCCACAGGAGCATACTTCTTGCTACAACTTCCTCCCTAATGAGTTCTCTCAACTTTTATAGGAATTGTTTTAACTTCTTTCCAGCAGGTCTGAATATCAAGCAGTATAGTCAAGTGAAAAAATTCAGCTCTCACCAGCAATCATGCATTTGTGATCATGAACCAGAATTTGGTGCTTCCACTTTGCTCTGCGTACCTGGCTGTGTCCCTACACTGCTCAGTAATTTTAAGAAACTTCACTAACTTATACACTCATTGGATGTAATTATTGAATAGATAAGTCTAACAACTTCTCATTATGAACTCAACTCTGAACACAAAATGATGGAACCAAGATATTACATGAAGGTACCTATTGAATGAAGCCATTATGATATTCGAGATAACAAACTCAACCAATCATTACCCTTTCTCCCCAGAATTGCTTTCTGCAGTTATGTTGGTTGAAATGAGACAGTGACATGAGGGATACTGAACTCATATAACAAATATTCACCAACTGATGACTTAGCTTCCTATTGTCACAGGGCTGACTCCAATTTTGGTGGTATTAAACTCTTCTGCTATGTACAAAGGAACTTAAAGACTAGTTGAACAGCGTGCTCCAGACATTTTCCCTGTACTAGTTATGCTAAATAGCCAAGGCTTTAAAAAGTTAAAATATTGTAAAAAAAATTAAAGTTGCTATGCATCATTGATACTACTTGATATCCTCAGATCACTAATGGTCTCTCTGGGTAGCTTCCCTAATTTTTAAAAATGAAAAAATATTAACATTGGCAAAACAAAATTAAGTGACCTTCCAGACAAAATACATCACATTAAGCTGGACAGTATTCACACACACACACACACACACACACACACACACACACACGGGTTGTTTGAAAAACTATTGAGACTGATGCTGTAGGAAACAAAATAATTTATTTACAGGGTCTTGGCATAATCTCCTCCCAAGTATGCTCCTTCTGCAGCCACACACTTCTCCCAAAGTTCCTGCCATTGTTGGAGGCACCTCTGATATGCAATTTGTGGAATTGCTAAGAGCTGCTCAGTCGTATTTGTTTTATGGTTTCTATATCAAAAAACCTTCTTCCTTTCAAGATTTTCTTTAGTTGAGGGAAGAGAAAGAAGTCACATGGGGCCATATCAGATGAATATGGAGGCTGCAGCACTTGTGGGCTACAGTGTTTGGCTAAAATTTGGCCAAAAATTGCTTCACAAGCTATGCTGAGTGGACAGGCACATTGTTGTGGTGAAGCATCCAAGAGTCGGAAACCCACTTTTCTGGTCATTTTTCTGTTTGTTTCATTCCCAAATCACTGGTTAGAAGTGAATGACATGCACCAATATTCATTCCATCTAGGAAGAGCACACACCAACTGCAGAGACTTCCTCAGCCTGTCAAAGGGCTTTTAAATCCGAAAGCTTGCTAAAATTTTTTTTCCAACTATTTAAGTTGTTCTAATAAAAGATATCAGATTCACCCAAAGAACCTTGTCTGCCTATGAACCAACAGAAATTCCAACTTCTGCTATCTCTCAGGCAGTCAGTCGCCTATCATTTCGAACCAAACTGCGAACTGTTGCCACATTTCCATCATTTTGTGATGTTGAAGGGTGTCCAGAACACTCTTCACTTTCGACTGATGATCGTCCTTCTTTAAACCGACGATACCATTCAAAAACTCTTGCACAGCTCATAGTGTCATCAACAAATGCTATTTTAAGTAATTCAAATGTTTCATTTGCTGTTTTTCTGATTTTCAAGCAAAATTTTATGCGCGCATATTGTTCTGGACACTCTGACATAACGAAAGGGGACGTGAGACACAAACGATCTTACTTCAACTGCTGGCCACAGAAAACTGGGGAAACACATGAGCTGCAAACCTGTCCAGAGGAGTCCTAACATGCCCAGACATGTTCAGCAAAGTCATGCCCCCCACCCAATACTTTGTACCACAAGTACAAGTTCAGTCTCATACTTTTTGAACAGACCTTGTATGTATATATATATCAGTAGTTTAAGAGTGAGGGGGGTGGGAGATGGGAAGGAATAATCATAAACAACCCAGGAAACACACAGTTGAAGTTAAGCTTAAAAAATCCAAGCAAGGCCCCTGACAGACAGTACACTTAAGACTTGATTAACTGGTTAATCACATTGTGAATGGGTTATGGATCCTGACTCTGTCTCCCTCTGAACTTGCCTGCCATGACTTAGATGGGAAAGATAATAAGAGGGATTCAGTGGTGTTTCCCTGCGCAGAGTTAGTAGTATCACCCAGGTGTTAATTTCTCACAACAAAGCTTTATTATCCCTGCAGGGCTTTGGAACTACCAGAACCTTGCTAATTACTCCATTAGCGAGGGAAGTCCGGGTTGCAAATAAGGTACCTCGGCTCCGGATACATCATAGATACATTGTATTCTCTACAGTCCTTGCCGCTAATTGCCTCGTTATAGCGGCATGTTCCCTGCGTCTTCTACTTATGCCATGTGCCGGGACTGGCACCGGCTTCCCCCTTGCTGTCCGTGCTGCCACACTTGGCGTCATTGCTTGTCCCGTCGGGTTGGGGCTAAGCCTAGCTCTCCTTGCCCGCCTTGACCCAGAGACCTTCTCTTTCTCCCCGGCTTCCTGCCTAACTGCTTCGCGGAACCCCGACTCTTCACCGTACTCACCAGAGCACCTGTAATTCCCCCGTAAGTACTTAGCTCTGTGGCCAACGTGCCACCATCCCAGATCCTGGCGTCCTGCGGAGTCACATGCCCGACTCCCAGTACTTCTCTTTTCTGGGGTCTGGGTTACCCCATGTCTCCTCCAGTGCCCCAAGGCAACAAGTATGTGCCCCATCACTGGATATACTGGTAGTGGCGAGCTAATCACCCTACCCTGCCCCCAGTGCATGATTCCCTCCACCTGGCCAGGTGTATCATTGGGTCAATCTTGCCCGATCCTGCCTTAGTAACAG